GGAGAATTTGGAGGACGAGTTTGTCTCTGAGATAACAACTCTCGGTGGCCTGAGACATCGGAATTTATTGCCTCTTATAGGTTTCTGTACTGAAAATGAAAAAAGATTTCTTGTTTACAAATATATGCCTAATGGAAGTCTTCATGAATGGCTGCACTCGAACGAAGAAAAGGCCAAGATTTTGGATTTCCCTCTGAGAGTTAAACTTGCACTTGGGATAGCGAAAGGCCTTGCTTGGCTTCATCATGGGTACGAATTACACGTTACACACGGGAGCATAAGCACACGATGTATCTTGCTAGATCAAAATTTTGAACCTAAAATATCCAATTTTTGGGAAGCCAAGTTTTGGAGTAAGAATGACACTGCATTAAGTTGGAGTCTTTTCCCAGTAGCTGAATATTCTGGTTTAGGTTCTTACAAGCAAGACATTTACTGCTTTGGTGTTGTGCTTCTCGAGCTTGTAACTGGGAAGGAACCACATGAACTGACCAGCTCGAGAAATCTATTTGATCATTCGCCTTGTCTACTTGATGCAGATAGAGATTTGCTTGGAAAAGGAGTCGACGATTTAATCCTCCAATTTCTTGAATTAGCTTGTACCTGTGTGAAGTTCTTTCCTAATGAAAGGTCAACAATGTTGGAAGTGTATGACACACTGAGGACAATTTCTCAGGGCCGAACAGACTGGGTACGAGGGATACCCTTATCAACTGAGATTTCAAGTCTCTATGACTAGTGCTGTAGTTTATCTGGTTGCTAAGAAGACAGAGTAGGAGTACACTAGATTAAACTACAATACCATAAGTCTGTACGGTAATAGCTTCTGTTGCAACTGTAATGTTATAGAATCTGTATATACTCTATAATGTTGGAAAACCATATTGATTGCATGTTTCTAAAAGAAGCTCAGCAGACTGATGCCGCGTTGCATTGTCTTAGTTTGAATTTTATAGGCATTCTTCTGAGAATTATCTGCTGAAATTGGCCTCGAGTTTTCTTTCTATATCAAACTATAAGTCATGTATAATACCGTTTTTTCTCACAAAAATCTTCTAGAGTATTAGTATGATATTCACCATCCCTATCAGACCTAAGTCTTTTGATTTTCCTATCTAATTGGTTTTCTACTTCTGCTTTGTATTTTAAAAATATGCTTTCAGCCAGATCCTTAGACTTAAGAAGATATATCTTAGTGTATCTCGAAAATTCATCTACAAAAGTGATGTAGTATTTCTTCTCACCCTTACTAACAGTGTTCTTAAAATCAGCTAAGTCTAAATGCCCTAGTTCAAGCAATTCTGTCTTTCTACTAGTTACATTTTTAAAAGGCTTTTTGGTATATTTTGCTTCTATACAAATAGGACACTTAGAAAAATTATCAACATTAATCGCAGGAATTAATTCTATTTTTCTAAGTCTTTTTATAAAAGCAATATTAATATGACCTAGCCTACCATGCCACAAATCAATAGACTCACAATATGAGCAGAATTAGAAGTACTTGCATTACTAGTAATCTCTTGAACAATGTTCAGTACAAATAAACCTCCATTGAGGTAACCCTTCCTAACAAAGTCTCCTCCACGAGAAATAACAATTTTATTAGATTCAAAAACAAGTTTAAGGCCTGCTTTGTTGAGAAGTACACCAGAAACTAAGTTTCTACAAATGGAGGGAACGTACAGAACATTGTTCAAGGCTAAAGTTTTTCCAGAAGTTAACTTAAGAAGAATTTTTCCTTTACCCATAACTCCTGCGGTAGTGGAGTTACCCATATAAACACACTCGCCGTCAGTAGACTCCTCAAAGTCATGGAACAATTCCTTGTTGGCGCAGAGGTGCCTTGAAGCGCCTGTGTCCAATATCCAATCAGTCCTGTTAGCCACCATATTTGCCTCAACGACCACAGCAACAATCACATCACTACTTTTAGTAAGGTTAGCTTGGGGTGGAGTTTTCCCTCCCTGCTTCGAGCTTTGTCTTTTTCTTTGGTTGCACTAGAAAGTCTTGTGATCAATTTTTTCACAGACATAGCAAGGTCCTTTCGACTTTTGGATTTGGCCCTCCGGTTTATTGAAGTAATTCTGTTTCTTTATATATCCTTTCTTCTGGCCTTTCTTCTGTTTACCTTTAAACCTGTCTTTCACAAAAGTACTAGCAGATTTCACAAAGTTAGCTTTAGAAGAATTAAGAGAGAGAAATTTCATCTTATCCTTAAGTCATTCTGCCTCCTCATCTTTGAGACAGTTTGCTTCCTCAATCCTCATGTAACTGATCAATTCTTGAAGAGTTAAGTTTTTCTTCTTGTGTTTTAGTTGATTTCTGTAATCACTCCAGGAAGGTGGAAATTTTTTAAGCTGAACATTAGCTTGAAGAATCTCACACATCTCCATACCTTCATTCAGAATATCAGCAGTCAAATTCTCATACTCGTGAACCTACTCCATGATTGGCTTATCATCAACCATCTGAAACTTGATCCACTTTCCAACTACATACTTCTTTTTTCCCGCATCATCCGCACCATATTTCTTCTCCAAACTGTCCCATATGACTTTAGCAGATTTATAATTTATAAACAAATCAAAGAGAGTATTAGTCATATGGTTAAGCAGATGCCCTCGAACAATTTTATTATCCTTTTTAAATTTCTTTTTAGTAGCATCATCAGCAACAACAATAGCAGTTATATTAGAACTATCAGGAATATTAGCAGTATTGGAAACAACATCAGCAGGAGGTTCGTTAAGCAAAACATAATCCACTTCTAATTGTTCAAAGAAAATTAGAAGTTTCTGGGACCAACACTTATAATTGTTACCATCTAAAGGCTCAAGCTTTGACAGATCAGGAAGTGTTTTGTTCAAAGTGGTAACCATTAGTCAATATTATATACGAAATCGCTTTCAAATTGTAAGAAATATAGTTGGTAATAGTGACCAAGAATAGAAATAACTTATCGAATAAATACTGTGTCGTGGGAAGCCACTGCTTGAAAGCAATTTCAGTCCTACTGGGTGCAAATCGTTAAGACCGGTCGCTCTCCAAAGTTCCACAGTACTTCCAAACACGTGCACTCGTGGCTGGAAGTTTGAAGTTTGTAAAAAGGAATTGCCCTAGAAAATAGGAAGAAGAATAGTCTTTTGAGAGGATGAGAGAATAATATTTTTGGTTGGTGTTTTAGCTCACAAATGATGATGTTTATATAGGCAAATCATTTACGTTTTCTTCCATCAGAAAATCATAAGAGGCCAAATGTGAGTTAATGTTATGTAACATTTATTTTGGTTTAATGATAAAATTGTCATAATACAGTAACTTCAAACCTTCTGAAAAGTTGTATCTTTTCACAAACGAAGTCACAAAAGTTAAGAAACTGTTATATAAATGAATGTGAACTATTTATGAAGTAGTAACTTCATTCTCCCACTACGCATATATATAAAATCTAGAAATGTTATAACAAATTAATGGTGGAGAGGTATGACAATTAACCACGGATTAATTATAGATTAGAAATGTTCTTTGTTCTATGCATTATCAAATTAGAGTAACGCCTAAAAAGGAATAATACCAACACAAATCACAGCTGAGAGTTTTGCAAACAATCCAGAGCTTTGTGGGAAGCCTTTGAAAGGATGTGAGAATTCTTGGATATGGAAACATATTGATCGTGCTTCGTTCATCAAAGCGTTTATGGTTGGTTGGGTACTTTTCTTTACATTGGTTGTAGTCCTTTTATTTCAATTTCCAAGCAAGGTTATCAACAAGATAGTCTCATTCAACAAATGGAAACTAAGGGCAAAGGAACATTTAACTTCAGGAAGTGATTCACAAGGTAAAGAGGACTTAAACAGCAACCAGAAGGTAAATATCCTGTTAAAATTCCAGCTTTTCCCCTGCATTAGTTAAGTTCCAACTTTTTGCCAGCGTCGCGTATAGACTGCCACTTTACATTTCCTGCTGTTCTTTATTCAATGAACAAATGTGATATCAGTAAGTTTTTCTATCTTCTGTTCTAGTCTGTATGTTCCAATGATTTAACTGGCTGCTTTACAGATACTAAGGCTGGAGAAGTTTGTTACTAGAATGAGTTTTGGGGAGCTGAAAAATGCAACTTCTGGTTTTAGTGAAAACCATTTAGTAGGAAATGTAATGTTGGGCAAAGTGTACAAAGCAATACTTCCAAATGGCTGGACACTAAGAAGCTCAATGAATGGGTTTGGAGGACGAGTTTGTCCTAAAATATCATCTTTAAATTTAATAAGTAATTTTATATTCTAAAACCTCGAAAAATACTATCTATTATTCCTCGACTTGCGTGCGCAATCCGTATAATTTTTCGAAAAGTTTTTATGTGAAAAATGGATTAAAATGTGAAATAGAGCCTTAAAACTCAACTGAGTTGACTTTGGTCAATATTTTGAACAAACGGACCCGGATCAGTATTTTGACAATTCTGGTAGGTCGGTATCGTGATTTGGGACTTTGATGTATGCCCGAAATTTAATTTTGAGATCCGTAACTCAAGTTATGATCATTTAATGGAAAACTAGTAATTAAAGGCTAAAGATTTTCAAATTTGACCACGGGGTTGACATTTTGATATCGGAGCCGGAATTCGATTATAAAATTTGAATAGATCCGTTATGTTATTTAGGACTTGTGTGCCGAATTTGATGTCATTCCGGATTCATTTAATATGTTTTGGCACGAGATTTGCAAATGAAAAAGTTTAAAAACTCAAAGTTCGAATCGGGGTGTGAATTGTAATTTCAGCATTGTTTGACGTAATTTTTGACCCCGAGTAAGTCCGTATTATGTTACGGGACTTGTTGGTATATTCGGACAAGGTCCCAAGTACCCCAGTGTGAATCGAATCGAAATCGGAACAAGAATTGGACTTAAGCAAAATCTAAAATTTGGCCTTCTGTTGTAATCGCACCTGTGGATTTTTGACCGCATGTGCGAGCTCGCAAAAGCGAGCCTTCCATCGCAGAAGCGGCCTGGGCAGGCTGGGAAAAGGTACGCGGGTGCGGAAACTTGCACGCATCCGCGCGTTCGCAGAAGCGGACTTGACAATCGCAGAAGCGGAAGGCAGCGCATGTGCGCATTTTTCCTCCGCAGATGCGAGGCCTCGCCTGGCAGTCCCATTTCGCAGATGCAAGCTCGCATGTGCGAGCCCAGGCACCACAGGTGCAAAAATGCCTGGGCATTATATAAATCGAAGAGTCCGAGATTTTTACTCATTTTGGTCATTTTGAGCTCGGTTAAGGCGAGGTTTTGAGACATTTTTCACGACTTTGAATTGGATTAGTGTTCTATAACCAAAAATAATTATATTTCATAAATCCATGTCTATATTCATCATTTATTTCGGATTTAGATGGAAGAAATTGGAATTTTTATAAAATCTTCCAAAAATAAAAATTTAAGATTTGAAGTTTCATTTGACATCGGAATTGGATAAATTTTGTATGTTTGAACTTGGATAATTTTTGTATGGTTAAACTCGTAGCGGAACGGATGTTCGGATTTCGTGAGTTTATCCGAGATTTGAGACGTGGGTCCCACTGTCGAATACTTAAATGAATTTTGGATTTTTATCCGGAAAATTATTAAGTTCATATGGAATTAATTCCTATGATTCGTATTGAGTATATCAAATTGTTTGTGAATAGATTTGAAACTTTTGGAGGCAAATTTAAAAGGAAAAGCTTTAGTCGAGTAATTAAT